TATGTTTCCATTAACAATTATTAATAATTAGTTTTACCATTTAACATAAGTATTATTTTTAAAAAAATGGTGATATTCATTTTATTTAAATATTGTCATTATTGAAAAATTAAGTTTTCTCAAACATATATAATATATATATATTATCTGAACTTGAAATTCTCGGATACTATTATATGAATTATAGAAACCTAACCAACCTCTTTTTAACGTTGTATAAATTTATTTTAAAACTTGAGTTCTTTAGTGCCATATGAAAAGTGGGAAAATTATTGTGTGTGAAAAAAATGTTAAGGAAAAAATTAATAATTAAAACGAATGCTACGAGATTGATAGTTTATGGGCAATAATTTTGTAAAAAAATATGCGCTGTTCAGGAAGCACACATTTTAAGTTACCAATTTGAATATGTTTATGTTATCTRACAATTTATAATTATTTTCTTCGATTAAAATGTTTATAGGKTTGTATAATAATTGATAAATATTTAATATTGTTTGTATCCACGAACATATGAAAATACATATTGTAGGGCGTATCCAATATGGTAGCATTAAACGTAAAACATTTTTGGTTTATTTTTAATATAAAGGTAGATAGTATTTTATTCAAACACTAAACACGTCATGCCATTAAAGCTGTTACAAATAACCTACGGCATTATTACAACATTTATAATACACAATATACATGAGATAGATTTCGAAATTTCTCCTAATGGGATCCGTAGATAAACGCGATTATGGAACCGAGACAGGGTCGGGTGTAAAGTACTTAGATATTTACATGGTAAAGGCATATGTGACGTTTTTGATTTAAGATTGGGTCGAAAAAATGGTCGAGGGTGAACATGCAATCGAAATCCTAAGGTTCGTTACACCGACTGAATCGTAAATGTATGAACAAATTTTATGTTTTGATAATATTATTGTTTCTCATTAAAGTTTTTCAAAAAACCAAATCGACACACTTTATTCATGGGTAATTCAAAATACAATATTAACCTGGGTTCAATCATAATATATAGTTTTATATTAATAAATTAGTTATATACTTATACTCATAAAAGTAATATACAATAATGTAATAAGGATTCGATAAATATGGTTGAAAAATTGTTATAGGTACAATAACAGTTTTAGGATATTTTAAATCAACTATCGGTGAATTGTACATTTAAACTTAATTAGAATGAACGTAAATTGCAATAATTTTACAAACAATATAATTGATTGAAATTATTTATTTACA